ACCCCTGGTCTATAGCATGGTCTCACCAGACACCTGATTTCTTTTAAAGAAGATTACTTTCATATTCTTGAAACTTTTGAGTAACTGTCTAGTTTGTAGTCCCCTTCATGCTTCCACTGGAGCATAGTGTAGATTCCCAGCTCTCTAGACTTGCTATGCACAGTAATGTGGCATATTTCACTCTCAGGAAGGAGGGGACAATGTGCCATATTGGTGGTTCTTCCCTTCTACAGATTTTAGGACATTTATGTGGCTTTTGGTTATTTTCATTCCCTCTGAACCTAAAACAGGAAGGGAAGATCAGGTCCTTTAACATTTAAATATTTAAATATACTGACATTTATGCTTACCCAATTCACTATTGAGTCATTCATGACATATATAGCAAATGCATTGACAAGGGTATTTTGCGCTATACCCGTATGCTATTCCAGTCATCTGAATACACGTTTCTTAGAAAAACATGTGCATTTTTCAGAATTCCAAACATCCGTTCCAGTCAGTTCTCTTGTTAATGTTCCACAGGGTATTGTTCCACTTGCTGGTGAGAATACTCTGAGTAACTGAGATCAGGGAAGTGATTCAGAACAGAGTTGCTCATGGAACGTCATGTCACGCCATTCTCATACATTTTCAAATGTTTTTGTATTGTTTACCTTGAATTAAAATATTTTCAGTAGGTCTGACTGGAAAACAAGAATTGTTTCTTAAAAAACTGAGGTTTCAGAATTTTGTTTTCATTTCAATGCAGAAGGAAAACCAGATCTTTTGAAATGCTTTGCGCAAAAAAAAAAAAAGAGAGAGAGAGACCTCAGAATAGCTAGTAGCCCAGTGGTAGGTGAGTGCCCCTACAATAGGGCACCTAGATTCAAATCTCTGTTTCCATCAGTGTCTTTCCTTGTCTGACCAATGAATATTTAATTATTTATACAAAGTTGAGCAGCTCCAACAAAATGAGGGGGGAGAGAGAGAGAGAGAGAGAGAGAGAGAGAGACTGACTCTATAGCTCAGTGATTAGAACATTCATCTGGGATATAGAACACCCAGGTTTGAATTCTTGATATAGCCCATTGATTAGGGCATTCTCCTGGCATGTTGGAGACCCAGGTTCAAATCACTGTGGAAATCTCATCCTGGACCTTATAAAGCTTCTCTGCAAATGGGTATTTTCTGTCAAAAAAACATTGTCAGTAAACTCCTGACCAGCCCTCATTGTCAGTGACTGGACAAGGTTTAGAAGGGTTGGATTAAGCGCAGAAGCAAACAGTTGTGTCTGACCCAGCCCAACCTGAATTGTAGGATAGGAAAAATGATGATACTTCAGGAATACAAACGTAAGTGATATTCTGTTGGTTTTAACATCAGTTGACTCTCAAATTCAGTGTTGTCTATGAGTTACCCATTTTGGATGAAAGTGTGCTCCATCGACATGGTTACTGAGCCATAGGACAGCACAGTCAAAGTGACCAACAGGGTAACAAATTAAGGCATATAAACTGTCTTATTTATTATCTATAATATGTGTATATATTGCAAAGCCAAATTGTCTTAGTGTCCTTACAATGGTATTACATGGGCAGAATTAAGGTTTGGGTGACTTTAAAAGTATGCAAGTACACATTTGACTTGTTTTTTGTAAACTGGAATCTTAACATGAAATGCACATTACTATGTAACTCGTGATGGTGTCCATTAGATACTGAAAGACACTCGTGTTATAGAATCAAATGGGGTGATCTTCTATGAAGTCTGTTTGCACGAAGAAATGAATATGGAATACAGAATAATAGGAGTAAAATATTAAAGCTAACATTCTTTTTTTTATAATTGCCTGTGTGTGACACCATTTTCTGTCCCTTTAAGAAATTACTCCTCTTCTGTCCAATCACAACTTGGTACATGAGGTATATTTGTCAGAGGGATTCTCTCCCATGGCCTGAAATTTCTTCCTGAAATTTAAATGCTTGAATCCCTCTTTGATTTCCATGACTGATTTGCCTTTTGTTTCTGGAAGGAACCTGTAGATGAGAATCCATGAGATCGAAATGAAGCCCATAAAAATGAGGAAGCAGAAGGTACCGAGGCTTTTCTGAAAACCAAAAGAGAGAGGAAAATAAGTTAATTCTCTTCCCTGGTTAGCCTTGACTGTTACAGTTTGGGAATTTTTAAAGAAGATAACTTAATTTCAAATGGTGATGGAGGACATATATAGCACTCAAAGAATGGAGCAATCTCACACTCTTCACCTCAGTGATAAGGGCTGAGTTCTGTGTTAAGGCATGTCTACCCATGGCTAGGAAGCAAGGATGTTATGGTTGTTCCAAAACCCAGGCTTCCTGATATGCCGGTGTGCTGTGATGCCATTGCTTTGGCACAGAAATAGTCTCAAAACATTTTTTTTTAATCAGGCATCCTCAAGAAGAGCTCAATTTAGATTCACTTACCACTACGTATGGGAAAATCATCCCGATCACATAGAGTCCTACCCAGTGTAGAGACATGCAGATCACTAATGCGGATGATCTGGATGACTGGGTGAAGAGTTCAATCATGACTGGGAATGAAGCTCCAGCTGGAAAGGAAAAGATTTCTCAGAATAATAATTAAATCATAAAAATAAATGCTTGTTCATTTCTAAGCTAATTTAAATCCAGTGAAGTTTTAGTGTAAAGTTTACAGATATTAGACTAGATTCCAATTTAACACCAGTTTTAGACTAGTATAACTCCATTGACATAAGTGGCATTACCACTAGTTTACACTGGTCTAAGGGGGGGGGGGCGGGGGAAAGAATCAGAGGCATTGAATTCTAATAGTCCATGCACAGTCAGTAGTATTTTTAGTAGTAAGTTCTTTTTTCTGTCTTTCCAAGTGGAGGAACTCAGATTTTTTTCATTGGTAAACTTCCTTTTTTGATCCATGTGACTTAAAAGAACTTTTCTTGTTTAATTTTTATTGGAGTAAATAGTCCAGCCCCTGACACTAAAGAAGTTATGACAGTGTAACTTATAAAGGTGTGATCCAATCAAGGTCATGCTACTAACATTCACATATAGCCTTTATATTTCATATTTGATCGACAGTCAGATTCTTAAGAGTAAATAGTTAGTAGAGTTAGCTTCCAAAGAATACCTCCATTGTAAGGGTGTTTCCCAGGCCACACAGAGGAGCTAGAATGGCTCTATAATGTGTCAGCCCCCAGTGTTAGGGGGCATATTGCGAAAGGAAGGGACGTGGCTAGAACATGCTGCCAGAATGGCTATTAGCCCATTCCCAAGGGTGATGGGATAAATAGTAATACTTAGTATTAATCTGAATACCAAACACTGGCTATAATTGTGCAAAATATTATAAATATTTTAAATTTATATTATGATGAATTTAATTTGTTCAGCTATCAGTATATAGTCCCTTCATGTTAGTATATTAAATGATTCATTCTTTTTCCAATCTCTCTCTCTCTCTTTCTCTCCCCCCCCCCCCCCCCCCCCTCACATCTATGTACTAACCTGGTCCAGTTGCAAAGATGACAATGAACAGGAAAATCAGAGCAACACTGCAGTAGGGCATCCAGAAGAACTGATGCTAAAGGGGAAGACAAAGGGACAGTAGACCGTGTTTGTTAATACCTTAATAGACTTCCATGCTGATTTCTTGCCAGCATGGTTTGGAAAACCTTAAGGAGTCTCAGCCTGAAGATAATTGTCTCTCCTTTTTTGGAGGTGACTGTTCTGAAAGTCACAAATAGAACATTTAAGAACTAACTGAATGAGCGCTATAGATATTATTTGTTCTTGCAGAGAAGAATCCCAACTAGGAAAGTTATTGGTCAAGGACACAGAGAAAGGGAGCGTTTCTTTACCTGTAGGGAGAGAGTTGTTGTGAGGAGCATGAGCATCAAAGCCATCAGTCCATATCCCCACAACAGCAGCATCCTTCTGCCAAACTTATCAATGATGAGGCTCTGAAGGGCACAAAATGCAAAAGTGGTAGTCAGCCACTACCTTTCCTATTTGTCTTTTGTATTGGTATTTCTTCACCAGGATTAATCTGTCTTGCGTGTAATAGGTCCATAAACTTGTAATCAGGTTCCAGACTTCACTGGTCTTTTCTATATCCTACCACTATATTTTGGTGAGGGATGCTGGCATATGCCCTTCTGTCTTTTTTCTCTTCCTGTGTCTGACTTCCCATGTAGCCCCTGCCAATATGAAAACTAGAGCCGTTCAGGGGAAAAAAAATTCCCTACCAAAAGTTTCAAGGAAAATGTGTTACTTAATCACCATGACTCAATGAGCTATTTGACCTCAACAGGCAAATCTCCATTCTGAACGCAGTGTCTTGCTTTGCTGCCTCAAAACTGCCTTAATGGCTAGAGGCTGCCTTAATGGGTGAAGCTAGACACATTTAGATTCCAAATAAGTATTAACAGTGAGGGTAACTAACTATTGGAACAACTTACCGAATGTTGTGACAGATTCCCCATCACTGGAAATGTTTAAATCAAGGTTGGATCTCTTTCTTAAACTATATGCTGTAGTTGAAACAAGAACTAATTCAGGCAAGTCCTATGGTCTATGTTATGCAGGAGGTCAGACTAGGATTACAGTGGTCCCTTCTGGTCTTGTAATCTATGAAAAACAGTACTAGTAGTCCCATTGTGCCAGCAGCTCTTTCTTGTGCAGGACCTGTCTCTTCTCTAGTTTTCACGGATTCCAAATCTTTTTCAAGCAAGTTCCTAATGGAACTGGCAATTGGTATCCCTCCCAAGTGAAAGGAGACATGGAACAGAAATGATGTCCTTTTCAGGAGCCCATTCTGCTCTTCCTGTTGTGTAGATGCCTCCCTAGAACTCCTAGAAAGGTGAATTCCATTGAATGAGCTCTCTTTGAGTAGACACTAGGCGGGAACATGGGATGAGCTAAGTATGCAAGTGAAGAGTTTGTCAGAGATAGAATCTGGGGCACATATCCTGAGGTTAAGAGGATCGAGAGGTCTAGTCCTCACCTCTGCCTCAATTCTGCTTCAAGAACTTAAACTCAACCTTCTAAATGGCCCATAGTAAAGAGTTGAAGTTCTTCTACCACATCTTCTTTCACTTGCCAAGCTTCACCGTACTTCTCAGTGAGCTCCCCCTATTTTGTAGATGTTCCAGTAAATTGTGTTACTACCAGCTGGGGATGCAATGTCTTTTATGGATCCCAATGCCAGAGCTTTTTAAAAATTATAATTTCCCTCCATTGCACTGCCACTAGCAGAGGTCCTCCAGTGAGAGCAATAGTGGAAGCACTAGTGTAGACAAGGCACTAGTGTCTGCTGGTGTTTATTCCATCATGTCATCTGAACTTGCTTTGACTCAGGATAGATCACATGGAGATAGAAATGCTGGTGCCTTGTCTATACTCGACTACCTGATGCAGTCAAAGAACAGGAGAGAAGCCCACTACTTCATATTGGAAAATCCTTTTGCAGAAATAGAACCTCCCTTTTCATTGATTCAGAGAACTATCCACCACCCATACATTTTACATATGCCAACTCCCACTGCAATGTGACTTACACACATTATGGCGGCGCAGAACTCACAGGTCCCAGCTCCCAGAGATATGTAGGGGATACGATCTTGAGTAAATCCGGCTGTACGGAACACGTCAAAGGCGTAGAAATAGATCTGGAAAATGTAACAAAAGAAACCATTTAAAAAATAAATTACTGAAGCACACCTGTGCAAGACTGTTTGAGTAATGGGCCAGGTAGCAGAGAGAGTGCTTCTCACCCACTAACTTGGTGTGTACTTAATAGTCTAGTTAATATTGAGCTCTTACTCTAACATTTATGTGAAAGGGGGGAGGGATAGCTCAGTGGTTTAAGCATTGGCCTGCTAAACCCAGGGTTGTGAGTTCAATCTTTGAGGGGGCAATTTGGGGATTTAGTTGGGGATTGGCCCTGCTTTGAGCAGTGGGTTGGACTAGATGACCTCCTGAGGTCCCTTCCAACCCTGATATTCTATGTTTACATGGGAACAGATTTTAATAGTTTCAGTGGAAGATTAGTTACTTAAAGAGCTTTCCAACTTTGTGGATATACTGAAAGTCCATTACTTTGCCAAATCACAAAATCAGGAACTGGGAAATTACAAGCTGCTTGAGTATTTTTGGCTCAAGCTAGTAATAGAAAAATATTATGATCCTAATGCATGTTTAACCTCCATTCTGAGCTGTGTAAACTTTGCCTGTCAATGTAAGGCGTAACCCCCGTGCCCCCAGTGTAAATGGAAAATTGAGAATCAGGAGAAAGGAATTGAAGTCAAAACCCCTTCCCCGCTTTCACACACAGCTCTCCTTGAAATTCAGGGGAGTTGCGGGTGAATGAGGTGAGTAGGACTGAGTCGCAGACATTCAACTGCAGACTTGCAAAATGTGACAGATTCCCATAGTGCAAGTGCACAAAGCCTACTATCCTTAGAAAGACTGTAGAACAGATTCTCAGTTGGTATAAATTGATGTAACTTAATAGAAGTCAATGGAGCTGAACTGATTCACACCAGCTGAAGATCTGGTCCAATTTTTCTGGCTGCAGAAGGAAGAAAAATTGTATCATTAACAACGATAATAATAAAAATGGGGCTGCTGTTGTTTACGGTTAGGTGGGTTTCATGAAAGCTTTGTACCATAGCTGCAGTGGTCTTAGGGGTTTTGAGAAAAAAAAAAGTTAGTGCAACAAACCAATGGAACATTATTATGCTGAAACACAGAACTCACGGTGCCCAATGGTCTTGAAGACTTACACAGGAACATAAATATCGCCATGTTGGGTCTAACTAGCCTGGTATTCTTTTACTGATAGTGGCTGATAGTAGATTCTTCAGAGAAAAGGTGCAAGAGTTCATTTGGGTATATCACACAAAATCAATTCCATGCCACTGCAGGGGCCTTAGGTGCAGTTTGGTCCCTCCTATTCTCTGCCTGTAGCACACAATAGTTTAGTCTCTGGAGGATGATTGTAATACTTAAATTTAATCCAGGTTATTGGGTCAATGTAGAGGTAGCTGGGTGGGGGGAGGGGGTTAGTGGCCTGTCGTGTGCAGGAGATCAGACTACATGATCTGCTGGTTCTTTCTGGCCTTAAGCTCAGTCTAGGAATCCCTGCAATGGACAATTATGGTATAAACTGCCCATAGCAAAAGATTTTCCCTAATCCCCAGCGCTTAGTTGCTGACTTGTGTCCTGAAGCATGAGGGTATATATAACTCTGTAAATTACAAATATATATACTGAACTGAGGATGTTTTCATTGTCCATATAAATGTCAAGTCATTTTTTAGTCCTACTAAACTCTTGGACTAAGTGATATTATGTGGCAATGAACTGAGTGCATTAATTATTCATTGTTTTTTAAAATACAGTGTAATCCCTTTATCAGTTTTAGATTTGTTGCCTTTCAAATTCATTTTTTACTCCTCCTACTATTAAGTGTACATATTGTAACGGACTTCCCTTCCCATTAGCTGGATTGTTGGTGGGTGTGGTTTGAAAGAAGCTAGGGGACTGGAAAATGTAACAAATGCTTTGTTGGACTGTGTACTTGTCTGCACCTTTAGGGGAAGCGGCCGCTGTTGTGTCAGAGCTTTGGCTGCATTGAAGTTTGTTGAATCTTTAGACTATGTGGGCTCGCCTCATATCTTTGAATACACCTGGTATTACAATATGTTGCTTCCTCAGTGATGACTTATAATAATGTTTAAAGTGAGGAGAATACAGTACTTAACTGCATTGATACCACTAAGCTGTATGGTAACACTAATGATGATCAATAAACACAACTGACATCGCAAGGATCGATCTTTTAGGAGTTCCAGGACATTCATGGGTTTCATTTTTTTCGTTGTAGCCTGCTCCTTCACCATATCATCAATTGCTCCTTGATGATTCCCTTCACCCCAAAGCTGCTTCAAAGCTGTAAAGGAAAAACTCTCAAAATTATTAGGCAACAAACAGATAAACCCATTAAATTTGTTCACTGATGTTTTCACCAGACTTCCAGTCCTTTACTAACTGATCAGTGGATTCATCGGGTCCTCCATGCATGGTCATTGATCAATTAGTTAGAATCCTCTCTCCTAGGTGCTGAGAGAATCCAGATCTTTTGAATTTGGGTTGGAAGCAGAGAAAAGGGGAGGAGGGAACACTAGATCTGTGACATCAACTATGTAATGTATAGGTGGGTGGGGGTCAGACAACCATTGATCTCTTCAGCATCATTTACTTCCTGCACTTGTAGTGGCTGCTACCAGAAACAGTAACTATTATTAATAATATCATTGGACCAAAATAATATGTGGAACTATCAAAAGCAACAGAGGGTCCTGTGGCACCTTTAAGACTAACAGAAGTATTGGGAGCATAAGCTTTCGTGGGT